CAATGAAAGCCCTTAGACCCCCGAGAACCGGAAATCGCCGAACAGGAGCCAACTGGAAGGCTGACCTCCGGCCGATTATCCAACACCGATGTCGATTGTGTTGACGCAAGATGGCTCGGAGTACATGCACGACCCGTCATAGGCCTAGAACTTGGACAGCAGACGCGATATCAAATGGTCCTGGTGAATCTGCTTCAGTGCTCCGAGCCAGCTTGGTTGGGGTGATATAGTGTCATCTTTCTTTCCTTCTAAGTTTTCTTCTTCGCAGTTTGATATATTGTCATCATGTGGCTACCACAGCGTTTCCCTGACGTTGATGAATGCCGGTGGAGGTGCTGATAGTCGAGCGTGAGAGCGTAGTGTTACATTACATGTATGAAGTAAAGCGTTGTTTTACCATAGTGGTGATGGACGTCTGTCAAGAGACGTAGGGCGCAAGGCTGACCTTCACACAAATTTCTGTGTCAGAAGGCACACATTCTGTCTGTTGATAAAGCCTTAACGTGGGAATGTCCCCTAAATGCCATGCCCGAGTTCGGAGCAAGCCCCGAGCATCCAACGCCAAACTCTAGAGCGTTGGCCAAGGATGGGAGACAGTAGTAGATTCCACCGATGCTGAGTATGTTCCAGCGTAGGGAATGCAGCCGACGGCATGTGAAACTTGGGGTAGTGTCGGTCAAGCTGATGATACAGACGCCTTTGAAACGTTCAGACACGTGGGCGTGTGTCCTTGTCCGGACTGCCTGTAACAGCTTACTTCGCGTGCAGTTTTCTTCGCCGCCGTTCGTGACGACCGCCAACCAGGGCCGCACCGACGACGTAGACGGTGCACCCAGGGCCAGCAACGACGCCAGCCGCCGGGCGACGACCTCTACGCCGCCGATATCGTCGGCGAAGAAGCAGACCGCATCAACACAGGGGAGAAGCATGGAATTATAGACGTCGTCGCCAAGTACTACTCCCATAGACGGCTGGTCTTCACCGTGAATGATCGCTATTGGTCTTGCTACAAGTTCATAGCAGAGCGTAGATTGCTTCGGCGTCCGTAGCCGCCTATCGGGCGGGACGTCGGCATTGGCAACCAACGTGGGCCTTGCGCCGGACGCGCCGACCGGGGCTAGAGACAGGCTTTTTTCCCCAACAGGCGCATGATTACATTCAGACGCACTGCTTCACATGCGGTTCGAATATCGCTAGAGTAAACTACACAGAGTAGGAAACAAAAGAAAAGCTTCCGACGCACCCAAAATTGATGCGTCCGAGAACAACCCCCACAAAAGTCCATGCGTCTAAAACCCACTTCCGTGGACGTCATATGCACAAGCAGAGCTCAGAAACAGACACGAAGCGACTGTAGCAGTCTTGGGGTTATTGGCAATCCTTTACGGAGGTGCCCAGCTTGTTCACATAAAGCACTCATTTAGTGAGTATACGTCCTGCTCATCATCAAGAGGTTAGACACTGCTGACAGGGAAAAGCGCCTGGTTGATTCACACCTTATGCGACCAGCAGCACCTTATTGTCCTTCATTTCAGCAGCTACCACTTCATTCCGTTCTCTCCCACTTGGAATTGCCACTGCGAATGGTGCATGGCTTATGGTAGTGAGATATTGAGGTTGTCAGCAGACCGCACTTCAATAGCAACCTCAGCATGACTGCAGACCCCGAGGTCAACTTCACTACCACCCCAGATATTCATAAGCCTATCTGGTCCATATCATGAGTAGAGAATCAACCCCCCTCGACTTCTCTTTTCGCCAGGATCGCAGAAACGGATGCTGAACGCAGATTAGTGGCTGCTTCGGCACGAAAAAGGCGGGACAGACCTGGCTCAACTCGTTCGCAGATGACGCAGATGTCGTCGCTAAAAAGGAACTTACGACATTCGGGTCCCACTGCTCTAGATGGTCAAGCCTCAGCTTGGCACCCTCCTTCACACAGCCTTGTATCAACCCCATCATCGTGCGTCCTAGATCGCGTAATTTATCTTTGGAGCTTACTGGGCGACAACCTTTCTGATTATCTGTACGTTCGGATCAGCTCGACGATTGCTAGTTGGCCGCGGACCGAGGATTAGTTACTCACCCTGACCCTACCACTCGGGGGAAGGAACACGCAAGCAGCTGAGACGGCCGTGTTGCAGTCCCATTCGCTCAAGACGAACCAGCACCTCAAATATCTGACAGCTTGTAAGAGAAACTTCCGCTGGAACAAGCAAGGGTAGACCGAACTTGTCCTACAATTGCCGCCAGGCGTTGGCGGTTAAGAAACAGATTCCCAATGGCTTCCTGAAGAGACCGCGGCATATGCTTATATACAACGTGGAAGAACGTCTTGTGGCTATACACTTCATGTACTGTGATGACGCGTAGGTGTTAGTTGAATAAAGCATTTCTAATTGCTGCGCAGAAAGCTCCAAAAAGTGGTGGACGTTGATAACTTCGCCAGATATACCTCTCTTTTCAGCAACTAGGACAAGATCGCTATCTCCCAGAGTCTGGCTGTAAATTCTCTCGTATATGACTCATGGTGATGCCGTCTTGACCAATTCGGTGGCGATTCCGGAGCTTCCGTCTTACCTTGCTTGGAGGATGCGTAGCAGTTCTATTCAGCAAGTATTTGATGAATTGATGTATATGAATGACACATTTCGCAGAGACTGGTTATGCCCGTTTCAAAGTAGTTCCTGGATTTAACGTTCTTATACGAGTGAAATCACGCGACTGGGAAAAGCCAAGGGAGAGAAAGGGCGGGTAAAAAACAAAAGAGGAAGACGACTGGTATGTAAGAAGATTAAAAGGTTAACGGAAGTAGGGAAGAAAGGGGCATCGCCTCAGCTTCCATGGGCGTTGTGATCGAATCCAAAAATGGAGCTCGTAATACGAACCATCCAACGAAGAGGAAGCATCTGGATCACTTCGGTCCGTTTCCCGTAATTTTCCTGCAGATGTCTTTGCTTTGCCTCAAAACACAATTCACTCACGCGTACACAAGAGCCCGCAATGGTTGTCACTAGTTCCAATCAGGTGAACCAGCGACTTAAAGAAGAGCGTCGAGTAAGGTTCTGTGGTACCACCAGCATCAGCATCCATATTAACATTAAAGCTATCATTAAGGACAGCAAACTTCGTTCGCCATCCCACTCCCAAACCGCCGAAGAGGCTATACCGGGAAGAGCACAGATGCCAACAGGAAGACCATAGTTATAATACTAAGGCTATCACCAGTCTATCCGACTTTAACGCTGCTATATTATAAGCAGAGATCTCCATCTTAAGGCTCTAGAGCGATACTTTACCCTACCTAGTTTTAAAGCTCCCATCCAGAGTATAACTAAAAGGCCTCTAGGAGTCAGATAGTACTATAGCAGCTAACAAAGTATTTTACTAAACAGACAAGCTTTAGATAGCCAATCTCTATCTAGACAGTACGTTCGCAGCCAGATCATAGGACATATCTAGCTAGCGTCACTTAGACCTAAGCAATATCTGAATAAAGAGGCGTTTTATTGAGAAGTATAAGTACCAGAGGGATCCTAACGATAGCGAGTTCTACTGCAAGATTCGCGGATACCAAGGACATCATAGTGACAAAAGTCCTTTCTTCAAAAGAGTAAAGAAGGCTTTCCGCTATCTAAAAGAATCATTAAGATCTACTGGATTAACTGTTTCGCCAAAACAAATACACCAACGCCTTCGAGACACTACTAGCCATTCCCACAATTCTTTGCGGCTTACAGCTCACTATGGTTCACCAGGTAATATGCATAAGATGTGAAGAGGTAGAGCATTAGTCCCTAACGACGGGGTGTCTCAGGTTAACTAGAGGCAGTCTAACTTACACTACATGAAGCACATGCTCCAGATCTGGACCAACATGTGCGGGGGCGACCCTCAGACTATGCAGCTTGTTGATCGAGCAACGGTGGAACAACTATAGGGGACAGCGCAAGGAACGTTTAGGGCAGACCACAATGAGCTCTTGGGTGATCTCGAAAGCGGTCGTGTCCTCAGGGACTTTCCCGATCAGCAGCGGAACGAGATAGACCCGAATCTGGCACGTAACAGAACGAAACACCATACCATCGCTTTTCACCTTCTTCGAAGATCAAAAGTTCCTCAGCACTACCGCAGATTGCATGAGGCGGCTAACAGGTGTCACCTCCAAAGTCACAATTTCGAGGCGCTTTGGTGAGATGTTCCAGAATTCAGCCCATCAAACTTTTCTTCCCTTCCAACCTTTCTTCTTCGCAGTTTGCCGCCTATGTCCTCAAGTTCCTTCAACCCATCAAACTGCTCAATGCACAGTGTGTTATCGCAATCAACATATTTGAACGTCCAAGGAGATTCAGCTACTCGTTTTGACCTTGGATGCTGGCATCGATAGCTTGCTGCCTTTCGAGAGTTCCGGTAACTGCCAGCGGACGTCAAGAGGAAAAATATACTTGCTCAAGATCGCAGGAGGGCAGATGAGACCATCCGATTCGGATTCGCTTCTCTTGCGAGCGGAATGGGTCTCGAGTCAAAAGAAATGAGCAAAGTTATGGGAGCGTCCCCAGACGTTGAAGTCACCAGACATTTCCTCCTCTCCGCGAGACACCCAGAGCGTTATCAATACCTAGATGTTCAATACGTAGCGCAAATATTCGCAAACTGTCCCAGAGACGACACACGACCATAGTTTGAGCGAACTCTGCACGGAGCCGCCGGTCAGATGCGGCATTACTCGCGATATCGATCACGCCCGTGATCGAACAACCGAGCATGCTGGCAGAGTTTGAGACCGGGCAAACGCGAGTCACATCATTCTTCATAAGAATATCTGTCTATATATCGTCTTCTTGGTCTTCCTCAGAATTTAGGATATTTGACGACGAAAGGAAAAAGGCATGCCATTTCCCTTTGGGCGTAAATGGGGCCAACCGTGCTGGTACAGTGGATGCTGGCTCTGAAACACATACGGATTTGGCGGCGCAAACGGAAGCGCAGCTGAGACTAAATCAGCTTACCGCCCAGTCGACCTGAAGCTCAATGAAGGGCGATGCATTAGTTTGCGGTGTCGGCCCTTGCGACCCGTACAGCATAAATGCATTGGGCATGTTGGGAATCATGTCTCCAAAGTAGGTTCTGATGCCGCTCTTGCAAAGATCACTCAATGGATTGCCGTTCTTGTCATGAATGTTCATGTCTAGCAGGCTTATCGTGACGCAGTCGTACCCAGCGGCCATAATGACGGCATCCAAGTCGTGGTGCGTGGCGGCTTCTAGTGAGCCGGTGAGAATTCCCTGTTCATCAAAGGCGTCGATCGGCGTCTTCTTTAGATCTTCTAGTTCGACGTTCACTTAATCCAGCGCCTCGTATATGTTCACCTCAAGGTTAACATATGCCAGTCCAAACCATTTGAACTGCTTCAAAGGAGGGACGATGTCCATATTCTTGCAGTCCGTCATGCAGCTTAGTGTTTTTCGAACCCCAAAGCTGTACAAGCAAGCGTTAACCGTCTTGTTAAATGCGATATCGGGATAGTTCGATTGCGTAAGACCGAGGCCGCTCCTGTTCCATAACTGCTTAAACAGGCGGTCCCGTTCTGCATCGGTCGCGCAGCGTAAAATGTTGTATTCTTATTCTATAGGAGAGCCGAAAATGACTTGAACTTCACCTGTACAAATGTAGCGTCGTAGTAGTGTTTCGTTTCCTCGTCTTATCGGTACAGCAACTATCTCCAGTGCATCCGGACCGCGATGCAAGTGTTGAACACAAAAGCTGGTGAGTTGCAGTCTAACGTGGTAAATTCTTGGACAATTTGCAAACTGGATGCCCCCTGCACGACTATACTAATAATGTTCTTGCCCGCCAGCTCGAGGTCGCTGGGCCACTGAGACGGATGTATGATTCGCCTACTGAATGTGTTCTGGTTTGGAAAACGAGGTAATTATGGTTTACTTATCGAGCTGCAAGCGAATACGGCGTACTTGGAGGCAAGAAACAGTCCTTTTGCCGTCCGAAAGCGCCCGCGTCTGTTTTCGGGGTCATACTTCACCTCGTCCACTCGGGCGTTGAAGATCGTGTCTTCTCGGACACCCAGTGTTGTAACGACGTGGTAAGAGTATTTGCGGATTTCTTCGTAACCAGGAAACATCTTAGTGAAATGGAAATCGGCCCAGACTCTGGGCAAGCTGAAATGGTAGGCAGGCGTATCGAAATCGACCCTGGCTCTGGGATAACGTTTGAAATGCCAAACACCGCCGAAGTCGTCTCTGCGCCCAAGGATCTTGGCAAAGAATCCTGGTTCTCGAATCTTGTGCAAAGAATAACAACCGCCGAACCCTGCGCCGACGTCGATGACGTCTGTCTCGAGCGTGTTGGCCTCGTTACCGGCTATTGTAATGAGAAAGAGAGAAATATGTGTGGCTGTGGAGGTATTGGTAGATTTTTGAAGCAATGGTGAAGTTGTATGGACGTGAGCCGGTGGTTCAGGACAGTGGCTGGATCGCGCCATCACCTTTGATATTTGACTTCATTTTGTCTTTTGGCTTCGTGTGCCTGGCATAGGAACAGCTATGATGCCGTTTGTTACCACCGAAAGCTGTTTCTGTCTCTGTCGTGTGTAGCATTGTCGAAATCATTGTCTTTGGGGCCTGTAACAAAGGGGCGGCGGGTGCAGATCTGATATGAAGTCGAAAGAGGCCATGAGGGATCATCGCAGGGCTCGGGACAAGCCGCTGAGGCCGCATCTGCCGCCATGAAAGGTCTCCACCAGACCAGAGTAGACCATTTCAAGGTCAATTCGCTACTACGTCGAACCCGCGGCAACAGTTAAACCCGGCGCTCACAGGAGGGTCTAATTAGACAGCCCCACTGCTCCTGACTGAACATGATCGGACCGACAGGTGCCAAACGGGCAGAAACTGAACACCTTATCACACTGCAAAGACCGACTGGCTGGATCAGCAGCAGGGAGTCTGTGACGTTCCGGAACCCTCTGCCGAAGTTGAACTCGACAGAGCTCTTGCTGTAATTGCCAACGCATACCGAGAGTGTGCATCCGAAAATTGGTTCCGTGTGTTCAATGTGTGTGAAACTTTATTGTCTTACGAAAACACTATCGGCGAAAGGTGTACTGATAGCTGTTAGCCACAAATAACCGCGATTGGTCCACGTGGCTTGCCACGATGTATCACGACAAGTGTCCCCGATATGATTTGGTAGAATTGTATTAGTCCACTGCGTAAAGCAGCATGATCTGGTGGCCGGCGCAGCATCTGGTTGAGAGCTGGGACGTCATCAAAGGCGGGCGCTGTAGGCCATAAGCAGCTGGACTGCTTCCTCGCCCTTGTTCCGATTGGCAAAGAACAGTGAAATTTGTCCCCACTCTCCGGGAGTGTTTGCGTCGACTCCTTCTTGAACCAGAAGCATCGCGCAAGCTAGGGTATTGTACAAGATTGCGACACTGAGAGGTGTATGCATGAATGCTTCGGTGGAGGCTCCGTCCGTCATGTAATACCCCTCATTTTGCTGATCGATCATAGATAGACAGCAAGACGTTACCTGACAGCCCGAAACATTTAGGACCAATATCAAAGAGCCACCGCAAAATATCGTAGCCCTCGGTTTCCGCCGACAGATTTGGCAATCCAAAGTTGCCTGTAAAAGCATACAAAATCGTATTTCCGATCGAGTCACGTTATCTCACGTAAGAAGAGATTTGTAGGGTGCGCGAGCACAGAGTGCAATGCTCGAGTTTTCCGCTTACTATCGAGGTGATGTCGATGCCCAGCATTTGTTGATATGTCTCGTCTGAAAAGACGTTCCAACGTGCGCACGAGAAAATGGAAAATGGAGCCATTCTGTCGAGGATGTCAGAGCACATTCGGCCATGGTCTGTTTCAAGCCGTACCACATCGGCCTCTTGCGCTTCTTGGTTTTCTTGGCTCCCGAACCAGTCTCTCGACGATACAAGTGTCACGCTAGCCGTCTCAATATTGCCGTAAGAGCTCTTCCAAAATGAGACAGCTCCGGAAGGATCCGGGTACTCATGTTCAGGGTTAGAGGAATCTTCCGTCGGTATGTATTGTATTGGTGCAGCACCTAGCTGTTCTGGACTATCGGCGCTTAAAGATGGCGCATAAACGGCAGAAGACCATGAATCAGAAGAGAAGGTTCTCCTCGAAGTCCAAAAGATACGGACCAGCGCTGCAGCAAGACTCTGCCAGGTCTTAGTCCAGTTGCTCCATCACAGGAATCAAGGCGACCGCTTAGCTAACGCCGCGACGAGTGGCCAGAATTTGACCGAATGTCTCCAACACAAAGACGTCTTGGAAGTGAACATAGAATCAGAAGCCACTTAGCTAGGGTTGACACATTCATACCTATCAGTTCACCAGTATTCGAAGCTCTTATCGCTGCCTTCAGCAGTAACGCATCTGACGCCCAGCAAGTCGAAGCCCCTCGAATTGAAGAATCCTTTGATTCAGAAGCTCTTGAGCTGCCCACAGAGACCGCAAAATTCAACCAAGATGTCTACAAGACAGAGAATTCTATCATATGTAGCGCTGACACTGCGAATACACCTCATGAGAGCGAAAGAGATTCTTTTGTTAATTTGCTCGAAGTTGGCTTTCACGATTTACTACAGACAGAAACCGACGGTGCCTAGGCGCCTTCTGGGTCAGTCGACGACAACAGGCCGGGTATCCTGGAAGGATAGCCAAGTGACAGTATCCTGACTGAGAAGAAGCAGATATGGGGAAGTCAATAGATGATGAGTTGGTAGAAGATATGACGATCTAGATCGACAAGACAGCCCTATTGCAGGGGAAGAAAACACCAAAAACGCCATCAAATGCAGCGTGCGTCTGCCAAGCCACAAAGAGCACGCAAAGGATACACCGTTTCCTCCACCTAGTATCAAAGCCAATCCGACTACCTAGAGAGCAAGGAGACCTTAGAATTAGGCAAGTTCACCCTACCAGGTCAGGCACCAAGGCGCTTGGAAAGGTCTAATCGACGGCGTAGCACTGAGAAATTGAGATGTTAGGCTGACCTGAAGTATCGAGAGAATAGAGAAAGTATTAAGCTATATACAGAGAGAATTATTTGCGCAGTGGTGAGCTCTTTATAGATTTTGTAACTACTTTGCGTATTAGGAATAGAATGTTAACCAGCTTGAAGTGGTTGATAGCTCTTTAAGACGGCAATCTCTAGAGAATGCTTTGGGATTTCGGAAAGGCTCCTCCACACTACGACAAAGCAAGGTGAGGGTTACAATGTGATGTTATTGGGTCGCGAATACATCTGCATCAGCATTATGAATCCGTTCACCCGATCTAAAAGTCGATCTCGGTTGGATAGAACTTTCCTTACATAGTGAGGTTGCAGTATTATCAACATGAAGCATGTACGTTGAGAAAGCTGAAAAAAGAGGCGGAAATGCGGAAGAAGCGATGTTGGAGCTGTGAACTACCAGACCATCACAGGAGAGCTGCAAGCGATCAACAAAGGTGTGAGGCCGAAAGCGCTAAGACGAATGAGAACCTTGAAGGAATGGCAACAATGGCTGTGGCGCGAAGGAGATCGGGCATGTCATTCACCTTTGTTGCTCAAGGTGGATGAAGGTAAAGTCTTGAGGATCATGGGGACAGGGGAGGCGGATGAGGATGGCACCGGTGAAGAGGACACTAGGTGAAGCATTCGGAGCAGTCCGACACTGAGAGCGTGAAGACCGGCGTCGTGGACAGGACAAGACGTCGCAGCGGTCGGACGCCCGGGCCCGTGCCGCGGCCCGATGTTTCGAGGCCGCCACAAGCTGTCTGACCTGAGAAGCAACCTGCCAGCTCGCTACTGCCAACGTACCCCATGCGCAAGCGGCGTAGGGGACGCCACCCCCCTCTGCAACGTTTCTAGACAGGATACATCTCGGCTGCTAATAAGCAAAGGAAACAAACGGCAAGTTGACCGTAGCACATGGCGCTCTATGTTCCCGCTACAATCAGCGCATCCCAAGTCTAGGAACGATCAATTCAATTTATAGTCCAGCTAGCGTCGCAGAGATCAAACACTCATGATGAGTTTCAGTTTCAATCTCTGACTAGCCATGGGGCCACTCCGTCTGTTGAGGCCACAAATGCCTAACAATCTGACAGGGACGCTAGATTCTGATGCGCTACCGCAGCTTGAACTTATCGCCCCAGTGTAGTGCTGGGATGTCCCCTTCTATCTCCTTCCACGCCATTATTTCTAGGGATATCTTAGTTGGATGAACAGGGTATAGCTGCAAGTCAGGCATCCTGTGACGTATTAGGGACAGCTCATCCCTCTCTCACAGCAGATAGCTTTCTACTCTCAGCTAAGGCCCGAGCTCTTTAGTCACTTTCTGCCTTAGCCAAAGTGTTCGCTACACAGGGACATCACGAGGTAGTCTCACGTGTTTCCAGCCACTTTATGTCCCCTCACAGCTTCTAAACTGGGATGCACTGGGTGGATGAAGTATATTCGCATCGAGACAGAAGCTGTGATAGATCACGTCTGTTGCGTGCGTTTTTGAAGCACTTCATGGCTGTGAAATCTGTGCATAGCAATCGCATTGCATTCCAAGAGGAACTGTGATGGACCCTACTAGGTAAAGCCGATGACCCAGTCATCAACTTCAACACAGCGAGTGCAGCCATACCCTTAAACGAGCAGCCCCACCGGTGAGATTGCAATCTCAACCTGCCATACCAGACTAACTTGTCCTTTGAATCCCCAGCTCTGCCTCCTTAATTAGCCTGCATGACGGAATTGCTATTCAACACGGCTTCCTGTTTGTTCTGCCCAGCAAATTTTAACCTTGCTTCACCATGTCCAATAATGATAACCTACAAACCAATGAGTGATGTTTTATTAGCTTTCTTATAAGACTTGCTTATGTACTAGGCGAAGGCTGTGGCTCTAGACGACGTCCAGACCTCTACTCTCTTTGCCTGCGAGGCCTTTACCTACACCGCCTTACATTCGATCTCAAATGGACGTTTCCCCAACATTGGACGGCTTTGCTTGCGGATCACGATTTCGACAACAATGCTGATGAATGGCGAGATGAAAGCATCGCAACCCAGTCCACATCATGTCCCAAAGATACATCACTTAAAGCGCGTTTTAGAAGCCTTACGCCATCATCAGGCATCAGGTCCTCGGACGCAGTTGATGATGGGCCTAGCCTGAAAGCTTAAATTATTGCTCGGCGCTGTTCATCACCCCTCTCACCTTTCCCATCGCGACCGTCCATGCCAAACTCACAGTAACCGCATTCCCTCAAGCGACGTTATGTTATACCCAATGACGCCCTTGATATGTCTCGACTCGTCTTCAATGACGGACTGAAAGACCCTGAAGATGCCATACCTGCAGCAGCTTTCCAGTAGCGGCGGTACATGGGCGCAGCACAGGCCATTTATATTTGTGCAACGAATCCGTTGTGCCCGTCACAGTTGGCCAGGGTGGGCTTGTAATCACACCGAAAAGAATGCGCACGAAGCCTCTC